AGACTTTAAATATTTTATGTTTTATTTAGATGATTATTCATCTTTGGTATAATAAGCCCCAAGTTTAATGACTGTAATGTATCAGAAATAACCAAGAAGTGCAGATTTGCATTTCCTTGTAAAATTATAATTTTCTGCTTTCATATTTCATTTGGATATTTTCACAATACTCTTTTTTTAATGCTTAAATACTAAATTAATTATGATTACACCCAAGACATTTTGATACTCTAGTGAGAGTTAATCGGAATTAAGTTATTAATTCTAATTATAAAAAATTAAATGTAGGAAAATGAATTATTTCTTGTAATGCCCTCTTCTATTTCATTAGTTTCTAATTTTCAACATTTTTGTGCTCTGTTTGGAATATCTTAATATATCTCACTTCACATAAATTTAAGTATACTTTTTAATAGTGTGCCTTGTATCTCTGTTTACTTGGAAAATCTATATACAATTTTCACTTTGATATTCTTTCATTAATTACTTCTACTGACACAAACCCACGATCATTCTGTAGTATGCTGACTGGATAGAAAAAGAGAAATTGCTAGTATAGCTATAGCAACAAAAATTTGTAGTAGAAGTGTAGTTTATGCCATGAAAATGTGGCTTTGTTAATACTGTACACTAATGATAGCAATATGCAGATATTCAGAAGACATAATTGCACCCAGAGCCCTGCTGCAGTAGTTACATCAATTAGAAGCAGCATGATTTTGACCTAAAATTCTTGTCCAAAATGCCTGCTCCAGGAAAGTATTATCTGCCATTCCTCAGTGATAAAAAAGTTGAAGGAATAAGATATTACATAAAGTTGAAAACCTAACTAAACTCTGTTTATTGTACTACAGTAAAGATTAATACTACTAGGTACTGCCAAGCAAGGTCTTTTTGCAGGGTATTTATTACTGATTTTTTTTTTTCTTTCCTACAGTTGCAATACAGGTCCAAGATACGTACTGAATAATTGAATAATTGATCATCCATGAAACTGCACAACAATTCACAATTATTTGTCATCAAAACCCCACAATAATACAAAGTAAGAGATGTTTAACAGTATTTTTGGGGAAAGCCGTGCTCATTTATCTTCCAAGTTTCAAATTTAAACTTCATCAAGAATCCTTAATATGTACATGACAAAACACAAACTTTTAAAGTCTAAAGTAAACATTAGGACAGTAGCTGTCTCAGCACTAGGAAGCCATCACATCTCTTGGTAAAATAAACTCTCAAGGGTTTAACACGCCATCATGTTATTATGTAAAACAGCAGTTCTTCGGCTTAGCGTAAGGTCAAAGCTACTGACTCCATAGCATACTAGTAGCCAACATAAACACCAGGCTTGCAAAGCAGAACCTCTAAGCTGCACAATGGAAAGATATGCATGTGGAAATTTGATATAAGCCAAAAAATAGCCAAGTGACTATAAAGGGGAATATATATATATAATTTACTACAAAGAGACATAGTAAACATCGCTGTCTTGGGCAGTGGCAACTTTTTATTAGCAGAAAGACACCCCTCAGGGTAGTATCAGTTACATGATGACAACAGTCCATTTTTAAGGCTGCAGTCAGATTCCATTATAAAGTCACACTTTGATCACTTCTGTTCTGGAGAAAGGAAACTGGCCTAAAATCAACAGAATTAACTTAAGGGCATTTCCCTACAGTATGGAAAATAACACAAACATCTGTTCTTAGTTATGGAACATTACAGAAAAAAAGATGACACAAAAGAGAAATTTTGGTTTGCCTCAGCATTTCATATCCTAGTGACATGAAAATTGCCATGCTACTACATCCGAGTCCTGTATCCCCATATTTGATAATGTACTATCAAGATTCTAAATCACCTTTTTGGAAACAAAATTATGTGACCAATATGCTTTCATTTGGAGTGACAGATTCAAGAAAAATATAGGTTCACAAACTGATGGCAAAATTCTGACTTCAGTAGGACCAGATTTCACCTCCAGAGCATACTGAAATGTGTGGAGTCTTATCATCAGTGCCTTCAGCAAGACCAAGACTGGGGACATCAGTAAGATTAAAAAAAAAAAAAAACCAACCAAAAAACCAACAAAAAACCCGCCAAAACCCCAACAATGACAGTAACAACAACAAATGCCCCCTCCCCCCCCAAAGCCACCAACAACTCCAACCCCCAGACCACCATCAACATATGCCATACACCAAACCATGCCAAAACCCAGCACATTTCAAAACAGCAAGTACCAAGAGGACTGGGTATTCTGGAAAGAGGGGGGGGAGAGAGAGAGAGAGAATCAAGATGCTTTTATATTTAAGGGCACCCTTATGATACTCGTGGCTCCTGGATTTTACTGCCAGAAGAAACAACTTTGCTCGTGTTTTCTTGCAAAGAGGATTATTACCATAAATCATCCTGAGGGTGTATGTCCTAAGAAATACAAGACATTACTAATTCTCCATTAAAAAGTCCTCTCCAATTCGTAGAAAAAAGGCCAGCTGTCTATATTGCAGGGTTCTTTTAATTTCCAGTTAACTTTCCTAGGATTCTTTTAAATAAGAGAACAGTCAACTAATGAACTACATTTTATCAACAAGCTTTCTTTAATTCTTAAAGATGTCTTATGAATCAAGTAAACAAACAAAATCCCATCTTTTCCCATTGTTCTTAGTAAGCTCTCCTTTTTCTGATGATCTCAGAAGATTAGTGTCAGAGAAATGATTTTTGTGTCTTATAAAGAAAAGAAAACACTATTTTTCATCCACGGTAATTTGCATTCAAAAAACTATGTAGCAGAATACAGCTCACTTGCCCATGGAAAAATAACATCTCTGGTATTGCTTTCCATCAAACTGATTTGATTTTCTGAACATGTCATGCTTCACTCACATAATTACCTTTTGAAATAAATCAGATAAAGTGTTGTCTTTTCCTCCCAACAAATATAAAAGTTATAAGAATATTATAGAATTGGAAGTGGAACAATATGAACATTTGAAAAAAAAAAAATCAATGAGTGTTTTTCAATACTTGATTTACGAATTCTTTCTGAGTTTTTAATCATTATTTCACAATGTAGTTACAAGACACAAAATCAATGGGATATTTTAGTTAAAAATCAAAACGTTACAAAAGCCAAACGAGGTACTAGTAGATACATGCTTTCCTCTTAAAAAGAAAAATATTGCAAAACTTAATGAAAATGGTACTTGAGAATTGAGGTGGAAACATCATCTAGATTTAATAATGTTATGTCTGCATATGCCAGCTAACCTCATAAAAGCTGTGCAAATTTATGCCAGGTCTCAATAAAAGCAGCAATGTGGAAACTCCATAACCCTTACACTCCAGCTGCAGAGCAGAGCAATTTTTTGCTTGCTCTGGAAAAATGAATCAAATAACTGACAGTTCTAAATAACAATTTTCTACTGTGATCTAAATGAAAAAATGGGTAAACTTTTTTTTTTTTTTTTTAAAAAAAGCATATGCTATAGTACATTGCAGCTTCATGCAAGTATTCGGACAGACCTTAGAGGCCAACAGCATGGAGGCCAGGGAAGCCCTGTGAGGTCAGAACCCACATTAAACAGGAGCAGAACTGGAGAGCACGCCTGGGCATATATTAGCCTAAATACAAGAAAAGACTTTTTTGGACCAAGAGTCTTTCTAACAAGGCTGAGAACAGACTTCCTTTGGATAGGAATTCTTCATCCCTTTCCTCTACTCCAGAAGTTGTTGATGGTGTTGTTTCCATGGTTATCACAATCCTATCACTGTTTTCTTTATTCCAAAATTTTTTTCTGCATAGCTGTACTGACACCTATTCACGAGATATGCTCTTAAGAAAGACAGTGAGACACCAAAGATGAAGGAGGTTTCTTTTTCTCTTGAATTGAAGACCACAAACGAATGGACATTGTTCAGTGCATGAACAGAATTCATAGCTTCAGCTTGCTCTTAAAACAGATGGCACAGTCACCCCAGCAAGCATTCCTCCCTCTCAAAAACTGTAATATGAAAGCCAAGGTGTCTGGCAAGGCTATACAGTTAAATGGTAATACATCCTTTGGTCAAAAATTAAGTTTGAGAGCACACAGAATAAAAACATGTTCACCCGGCAACTAGCAGAACAAGACTCAAATTTCCCCTACAAACACTTGCTAACCGTGTGGCACTACCAAGCAAAAGAAAATTGCAAACACAACAGCAGGAAATACCAGTATAGGAAACTGAGTCCTGGCCTGTGAAATAATTTTTATTTTTATATTAAAAAATACCAAACATATGAGAACTTTATCCAGAACAGACCACGGTGGAATCTTATTGAAATATCCTCCCAGTTCAGGGAAGTAATAGCCGATTACTGAGTTTACTCTGAGTTATGCTGATCACTGCATATTCCCTCCTTGTTTTAGCGAACCATTTTCTAAGTTGTTATTTTGGGAAGATGCATTTCCTCTGAACAGATGTCATTAGACTAATTGAAATACTGTTGTAGAACTGCATTGTGACTGGGATAAGAAGGCATGAGTAAGACTTCTGTTTTTACTGTGCAAAAGTTCCATTATTATTCTACCATATTTCCAGAGTATTTGACATTTCAATATATCCAGCAGATAGGATCGTTACTCATTGCCTTTGCTATTGTCCAAAAGAAGCTTGTGCTATTCATTTTAATAGTATTGTAAGCATGCAGCCTGATGTTAAATATCTTTGCACTCAAAACTTCCATCCATTTAGCATCCATTAAAAGGAAACAGAGCATCAAGCAGAAGAGGAACACTGGCTTGCTTTCTAGAAAACCATTGGATAATTCAGAACAAGAATCAATTGGCCATTATTAAAGAAATAGAAATTTTTCATCTGCAAACCAGACATTTACTAAGTATTTCTTCACTATTTCATTTGGCTAATTCACGATTCTGCAGTTTTCAAATGAAAAGCAAGATAGAACGTGCTGTGTTCTAAAGGTAAGAGGACAAAATAACTTCATATTTTCTTACCTTTGCATTATAGGGAATATAATGCTTTGATAAGGCTTCAGGAGTGTGCATCCATGTTTTGTCTACAGAAAAGCAAAACAAAAGAAGCACTGAATAGGTTATTCAATTGTTAATTTAACTATTACAGTAGCTATCTGGAAAACATCAACAACCCTCCTTTTACTCATATAAGTATCCATCTGAAGTAGTTCTTGGGGCTGGAGGGAAACACAGTATCTCTCTCAACTTCCCAAACTTTTACATGAAAGAATCTGGTTACTTCTCTTGGGCACATTTCCCATTTTAACCAACTTGATTTACCATAAGAATTCCAACTCCTCCTGCCAAATATATTCATTGGCCTAAGGGTGTTTGCTGTTTCTACCTCAGGTCAGTATTTTCTGCATCCTGCTGTTGTTTAAAGTGCAGACTGCATGTTGTGCTTCTAATAATGCTTTTTTGATTAGTTATGTGGGTTTTTTTAATGAATTATCAAGATATTAAAGGGACAAAGGAAATTATTTTGGAAAAATTGTCAGAGCGATAACTGACAGAAGAAAGTCCTAATCCTTCTACAAGAAAATAGAAGCAAGTCAGATTGTGGTAACCAATTCAGTTGTTTATATCTTCTTTAATCTTTCCTTACATATCCTAAGTGAATTTGCATATTTTCCTTTAATGATTTTCACATCACAAGACTGCGCTATTGTCTTACTTTTCCCACTGCATGTTTCATATAGTGACATGATGAGTTCATTATTTGTGAAATACATCTTCCCTCCATCTTTTTAGTGGCCACTTAGAATATTCTACATAATTTAAGGTAGAATTCCAAACATTAGAATAAACTTCTTTTTATTAGAAGTTTAGAAACAATTTTTTTCAAGTTTTCTTGTTTGAAATCATTTAAAAAAAAAAATGTAAGAAGTTCCAAACTACTAAGTTGTATTACCAACCCCATGAGAGATTCTGTAACACTGAGTAGTATTTTATACTCTACACATTCAATATGTAGTAGTATTTAACATAAGACTACTCTTGTTTTAATTAGCACGAATTGAAGTCACAAATCTGGAACTTTATTGAATTAAGCAACAGAATAATAGCTTAAAGCAAAACTCTACCCTTGGATATTCAGACAATTCCCATTGCCCTTAATGGGAATTGCAGTTATAGCAATCACTAAATTTTTGTTAGTTACACCTAAGAACAATAAAATCCTGTTCACTTCAAACTATTCAAGAGCAAAAGCTGTGACATTTATTGATACTAAACCAATAACTAAATATTTTTGAACATAGAGAAGCAAGAAAACTGTTTAACAAGATATCCACCAGTCACCACGTAACAGGATCAAAAACTGCAAAGCTGGACAAAATTTTTTTCTTTAAGCAAATTTCATTCTAGATAACAGTAATGTTCAGCTCCATTACTGAAGAGTGATATTATCACTTCTTAATTGACGAAGCATGATTTGTCCATTCAGCAGCACCCAGGAGTATGATTATGCACTGAGGTGGTTCTTCCTTTCAATTGTAGCTTGTGACTGGAATACCGGAACAGAGAATCACATTTGTTTCCCAGAAGGAAAAGACCTGAAGCCTGATCTCCATTTTGAGTTCAATATCAAAAGCTGATGTTACCCACAAGTAAAAAATAACAATCAGTGTGAATTAGGAATGTTAGAATACAGCCTGACAACCCAAAAGATAACCGTAAGCACTCTATTTCGAGTCAGCACACTGCTGAAGGCCAGACAAGCAAACTGGTGATGGGGCTTGACTGCAAATCCCAGACACAGAAGAAGCTGGCGCATAAGGCAGGACTGCTCTCTGTCCCATCATGCTTACCGCAGCAGAGTGAAGACCTGCGCAGTGCAAATTTCAACTCCGAAACATGCATTCACATTGATAATGTCAGTGTTTTGCTTACCCATTTCTTACACACCAACTGTTTACTAGCTTCAGCAGG